AGTCGGTCGGCGCGGCGTCTACCCCTAGTGGGAGACGTCGCTCTAGCAAGGGCAAGGGGGGCAAGGGCGCGGGTGGAGCTGGAGGGGGCGGTGGCGGTGGCGGCGGTGGCGGCGGAGGGAGTGGGGGTGGTGGCGGGACTAGTGGAATGACTAAGTCAGAGTTGGGTACAAATACAACCCTAGAAAGCTGTACCCCATATGTGCTACCCCACTATAGCCTACAAACATGCATCAGCTATGATAATCTGACAAGCGGCACTCGCCTCTCCCTCCCTCAACACTCTTGCGGAAACTCACCCTGCACTACTGGAGTATGCAACCTGCCCTCCCCCCTCCCACCCCCACGTGGAAACTCACACACCCTGCCCCATCTGAAATCCACTTTAACTAGCACACATTATTTTCTGAAATCAATCTCCTCGGGCAGGTTGTGGAGTACTTGTACACTTGCGGCGGTGGAGTAATATGACGAGGCTAGGCTGAGATTTCGACAAGTTAAAAAACCACTGAAGGAGCGATTTTTTACTCACTGTTTGCTCATGTTCACTTGAATCAGATGTCTCGCACCCTCTTGTTCCTGTTTTCTCTTGTGTGCGTGTCCCCGTTTTCTTGTGTGCGTGTCCCCGATTTCTTGTGTGCGTGTCCCCGTTTTCTTGTGTGCGTGTCCCCGTTTTCTTGTGTGCGTGTCCCCGATTTCTTGTGTGCGTGTCCCCGATTTCTTGTGTGCGTGTCCCCGTTTTCTTGTGTGCTTGTCCTTGATTTTTTGTGTGCGTGTCCCCGTTTTCTTGTGTGCGTGTCCCCGTTTTCTTGTGTGCATGTCCCCGTTTTCTTGTGTGCGTGTCCCCGTTTTCTTGTGTGCGTGTCCCCGATTTCTTGTGTGTGTGTCCCCGTTTTCTTGTGTGCGTGTCCCCGATTTCTTGTGTGCGTATCCCCGTTTTCTTGTGTGCGTGTCCCCGTTTTCTTGTGTGCGTGTCCCGATTTCTTGTGTGCGTGTCCCCGATTTCTTGTGTGCGTGTCCCCGTTTTCTTGTGTGCGCGTCCCCGTTTTCTTGTGTGCGTGTCCCCGTTTTCTTGTGTGCATGTCCCCGATTTCTTGTGTGTGTGTCTCTGTTTACCTCCATGTGTTCGCTTCCAGGGAGGCGGCTAAGTCCAACCGGCAATTATGGCTATTGAGAGGGAGGCAAGCGTGATAAGTGAGGCAATAAATGGACTGTTCGGATTAGTGAGAGGGGAGTTGGCAGCATTGAGGGGGGAGATGACAGTGGTCAGGGAGGAGGTGGCCCGACAGAAGGAGCGCGTGGTGATACTGAATGAGAGAAATCGGGTTCTGGAGAATGAGATGAATGAGCTGAGGCGTGCACTGGTTGTCGTGGGCGAGAGGAATGTGGCGATTGCTGCTGTGGTGGGTGAGAGGGAGAGGGAGTTGGCAGCAAGGAAGGGGGAGCTGACCGCAGTGAAGGGGGAGCTGACTTCAGTTAAAGAGGAACTTTTTATAGTGAAGAGGGATTTGGCTGAACTTAAGAATGCTGACATGAGAAGAGAGTTGGACATGAGAGTACTACGAGAAGAAAGAAGGAAGTTGGAGCAAGACATCAGAGCGGAACTGGCAATGAAGAGGGAGGAGAGGAGAAAGGAGGTGCAGGAGTTGGATTGGCCACGTGTCATGGACGAATTGCCAGCCTGCAAGGAATGGCAGAGGATACAAGAGTCGAAGCTGAACGTTGAGCTCGAGATTAGCCAGAGAGAAGGCGATCAGAAGATTGCATGGCAGATAAGTGCCTTAGTGAACAATTTGATAGAAAATGCATTTTTTGCTCTTGTTCACAATGATAACTCATTTGTGTCATTCATTCGCTCTTCATCCATCACCTCCAGCGAATCAAGGCAGCATCACAACGAACTGATCTGCACCTGAAGAATCTCCACGGCCTCTCAGACGCCATGCTCGCCCATGTGTCCACAATGACGCATCTGAAGAGCATTAACTTAACCTCTACATCAGGCTTCAGTGCAGAGGGCATCAAGCACCTCTACAGGCTGCCACGGCTGGAAATGCTACTTCTCGACCACACAGACGTGTCAGACAGAGCCTTGGAAGGCATTGGGTCCTTGACCAGCCTTAAGAAGCTCTATCTCTGGAAGACCAACGTGAGTGATGCTGGGCTCGTGCACTTAACAGCTCTGTCCTCTCTCAAAGAGCTGAACCTTTCCGAATGCAAGTGTATGACTGCTTCTGCCATGGTGGAAGTGCGAAGGCTGTCAGGGCTCCAGGGACTTTGGCTACATGAGACGGCAGTTACAGATGATGGGCTGCATCAGCTGACGGGTCTCTTCTCTCTCAAGGTGCTAAGCGTTTCCAACTGCAAGGGTGTGACGGATGCTGGCATGGTGTGTCAGAATCCCAATCACTAGACCATTGGGATAAAAGGGCTTGTTTCAGTAGCGGGTCAGTGCGCCCATAACCCCCCAGGCAAACGCGCCTGTAACCCCCCCTAGGATCGATCGGGGATCTCACAGTGTAGCTCTACTGACACCCCCCCACACTGGGAGGCCCAGGACTGAGCACAGTGGCAACGGCCAACATGTGCATACACCGGGATTCGAACCCGAGACCGCTCTGATACCATGTTAGAATCCCAATCACTAGACCATTGGGATAAAAGGGCTTGTTTCAGTAGCGGGTCAGTGCGCCCATAACCCCCCAGGCAAACGCGCCTGTAACCCCCCCTAGGATCGATCGGGGATCTCACAGTGTAGCTCTACTGACATGGTGCATGTTGGGAGGTTGATAGGGCTTGAGAGGCTTGATGTGGAGCATTCGTAAGTAACTGATGATGGGCTGCAGCAGCTGACTGCCCTGACCAAGCTGACATCTCTCTATACGCCAGAAGGGGTTCAGCTTTATGACGATGATGTGCGCAGGCGGATAGGCATGTAAGGTGGCCGGAAGTGATGACGGAAAGGGAGGACGTGTCTGTGTCTTGGTAGGGACGACTGAGGAGGGGAGGAGTTCATCCGGAGGAGTCAGGAATGGAATGGTGGTCGTGCACGGTTCAACTTGCATGCTGCAGAGTGCCGGGGGATGGTGTGTGGAGTTTGTGCTTTGCAATTGGACAGAGGAAGATGCAGGGCTGGTTGGTCAAGAGACCACCGTGTGCACGAGGGAAGCTGCATAGAAAATGCCTGCCTGGCACTTCTTATACTTGAGGGGAAGCGGTTAGAAGCAGGGCGGACAGAGAAGGGAAACGGGAGGTAGGGGAGGCAGGAAAGCTGGGAACAAGGGCGAGGAAGATGCAGTGAGGGAGGTGAGCATGGTGGGGAGCGGCAGTGGCAGCAGTGGCGGCAGCAGCCGTGGCGGCAGCAGTGGTGGTAGCAGCGGTGGCAGCGGCATCCGTGGCGGCAGCAGCAGTGGCGTGCGAGGGTTGGGATCAGGGGTGCAATGGCTGGAATGGCTGCATGAAGGGAGCTGCATAAGAAATGCCTGGTTGTTTGAGTGCAGGGTGTACAAATTTATTGACAGAGGAGAGGGTATAGCGTGTATGGTGGAGCTTGAATGGCAAGCCTCATGCCATGTGCATTGCTTTTGCTGCTTCAAGGAAATTGGGTGTGCAATGAGTATTTGTGCTCGCAGATAAATGAGTAGCTGTGATCGCAGATAGGTGGGATGGGTGGCGAGTGTGATGATGGGGGAATGGGGGATTAAACAACACCGGTATTGAGGAAGAGAGGCTTGTATGCAATGAGTGTGGATAGAGTGGAGGTGCGTGCAAGGTGGTGGCTGGGTGATGCGTTGCTTGTGCACAGCTGGGGGTAAGCTAATGGTTGTGAACTTGTGCTTTGATCTCAACAATGTGTACAACTGTGTAGGTGACATAAACAGATGCATGCGATTGAGGTTCAATTAGTCTCCCTCCTGACGTTGGTTATAGGATAAAATGCTTTGTTGTCCGCTTTAATATGCTTCAAACTTTTTCAACTATCTTATATCATCTATACAGTTGTATCAGGCATGTGCAGCAGGGTTTAGGGTAGGGGTTGAATTGAAGGCACACATTCTGCTGCAGCACCCAACCACATGGCCCATCACTGGCATGCAGGAGGCAAGTAGGAGATGAATAGTTCAAAATCAAGTCAGTATGGCTCCATTCTAGCCATGTGATGTTTGGTTTCAAAATGCATGTCTGGCATTTGGTATACCGTAAGACAACAGAATCCCAACCGCCGCCACAATTGGAATGCCTTACTGCAACCCAACGCTCCACCCACTCGATGCACCCCCCTGTGTTTGGTAAACTAGTGACTCTGTTTCTGCTGCTGTGTGGCACCTTTCTGACATCTCTCTGAGCTGAATAGGATCATTCTGCAACTGAGAGAGGGGCAGGAATAAGTGGGGGGCACGCATGAGAGGGCAGAGACCGAGGAATGCAAAAGTGACCCATAAACGGATATGTAGCATGAAATGATGTATGGGTTGAGGTATGGGACTAGGTAATGGATAAGGCTTGTGAATGGCGACGAGGGGGAGACAATGGTAGTGGAACCGTTGATGATTGAAGCGGTGTTGAGCGAGGACTTATATGGGTGGGGTTGAAGTGACAGGTGCAATGGTTGAAGCTGGGTGAGTGGAGAACTTGGAGATGGTAGAACGAAAGACAAGGGTGGAAAGTGATATGGAAAGGGGATACGGGATGGAAAATGGAGGGGTTGAGAAGTACGGGAGGAGGTTAGGTGAGGGGGAGGAGGGGAATGGGGAATGGGAGGAAGAAAATGGAGGGGCGGGGGAACGGGAGGAAGAAAACGGATGGGCGTAGGTGATTGGAAGGATCTATGCGACAGTGGTGATGATATGACAAACAAGGAGTCTGGTGTGTGTGAACGGTTAAGATGGTGTTCCAAGGATTGTAAACATCCACATTTGACAAGGAATAAACTCAGACATGCACTTAACCTGGCAGGAACTCAAACATTTCTTGAAGTGCCTAAAATTTGGGGAAGACTCGGCTACAGCAGTCCAGCCGGTAAGAAGTTGCCACAATAGAGCAGTTGCCCCAATAGAGCAGTTGCCCCAATAGAGCAGTTGCCCCAATAGAGCAGTTGCCCCAATAGAGCAGTTGCCCCAATAGAGGAATTGCCCCAATAGAGGAATTGCCCCAATAGAGGAATTGCCCCAATAGAGGAATTGCCCCCGTAGCAAGAATCAGCAGCACTAAGAGCGCCCCCAATGAATTGAGGCATGTGTAAGTTGATACAGTTGTCGAGCTGACGGGAGACAGGAGGGGTGGGGAAGAGGGGAGGGGGGAGAAGAGCGGCCGGGAGGAAGGGGGGAAGAATGAAAGAGATATGGTTGAAAACTGGGGAGTGGGAAGAAGGTCGCACAGAGGTGTGGCATGTGCGAGTCAATGCCGATGTCTAGACGGTGTGGAGCAAAGGTAAGGGGGGCAGGGGGGAGGATAGGGAGGAGGGGAGACGAGACACGAATGAAGAGGGGAGTAAGGCCGATAGTGTGCCCATCTTCTCGGTTTCACAGAATGAATCACAAGTCGCAACAACAGATACAGGCCGTCAACTATGCCGCTCAACACTGCCCCAACCCCACCACCGCCCATCAACCCCCTTTCATATTCACCTGGCGGCCCTCTCTGCTGCAGCAACGTAGAGTGTGGCTGTGACAAGACAGAAGGGCACTGGTTGTCGATCTTGGACTGTTCCCAGGCGAATGCGATGAGAGGGGATGGGGAGGGAATGGGAAGGGAATAAGGAGGGGAGGGGGAGGGTAAGGGGACGGAAACGGGAGGGAAAGGAGAGGGTATGGGGAGGGGAACGGGAGCAAAAGTGGAGGCGAAGGGGATGGGAAATGGGGGAGAAGGGGAAGGCAAGGGAGAGGAAGGGGAGGGGAAGTGGACAGGAAATGGGAGGAAAGGGGGAAGGGAAGGGGAATGAAAGGTGAGGGAAATGGGGAGTAAAGGGTAGGGAAGGTTAAGGGGAGAGGAAAGGGACAGGAAAGGGAGGGAAAGGGGAGGTTAATGGAACAGGAAGTAGAGGGAAAGGAGAGGGGAAGTTGAGAAAACGGGGACGGGGGAATGACGGGGAAGGGTTTGTTGGCTGGTATATGAAATGAAAGGAAGGTACCTTCCATCCCATGGCCAACATGAACGCCATGCACTGCAAACCCATACACACCAATCACACACCATGCGTACACCACCATGCACACACACTATGCACGAATAGCACCCACCCATCCACCCATCCCACTCAGCGTTCATAGAGCTCCAGATCTTGTACCCATACCTCAGGAACATGCTGTGGTGTCGCTTGCCGCCTCTGCTGCCTCCATGGCTCGCCTCATCTGCTCTTTCTTCCTCAGCATCTCTGGCAGGTCATGCCACCAACACACTGGTGGGAAGGAGATGTTTAAAAGAGGGGGGAGTGGAGGGTTGGAAAGAAGGACGCGCGGGGAGGGGAAGTGGGATGGAAGCAGGGCGGTAAGGGGCGCAGGCATGAGCACACAATCAGACTGGCCGCACCGAGGCACAATAGCTGAGTGTGAGAGGGTGGATGACGGACGAAAGGAGAGAGGAGTGGAGGGGTAAGGCAGCAAGGACAGCAATGGAGTGGAGGCAGGCATGGGGCAACAAACACGATGTCAGTTTAAAGACACAGTAACTGAGTGTAGGGGCAGGAAAACAGGGAGAAAGGATGGGAGGGAGGAGTGGGGAGGGAAGGAATTATAACGTACAGCAGCAGCAACAGTCATTCGCTTCTCATAAGATAGGATAGTGAAAACCTACAATGCTGACTTGGTAATTTATCCGTACAGAGGCATAATTGGGGCCCCCAGACCGCAACAGTCTATGGCCACAGAGCAGGCAATAACATGGGCCGGCCTGGGCAGGGCTGGCCTCAAAACGCCAAGCCGACTTGCTGGGATGTTGACCCGCCCGGCAAATAACGCTGGGCCTTCTCTGGCCCGAGCCCGGCCAGGGTCAGTCCCAGTCACCACCACCACCTCGCCTCTCTCCACCACTTCTTGCCCTACCCACACACACCCATTCCTCCCCTCACTTTTATCCGCTCGGCTGAAACTTGGGGGAGAGGACACGTGTGACGCAGCCGAGAGCCATTGGCATGCATTCCCAAAGCTGCTGGTTCCGTAGTGTGGTAGTGGATAGGAGGAGCAGGGGTAGTGCAGCCGGGCTGCATTCTCAAAGCTGCCGGCTCATATGTAATACTGTTAGGTCCTGGTGTAAGGGGGATGATAAGCGGCGGCGGTAGGGAGGTTGATGGGAAGGATGAAGCAAGGGAAGACGGAAGGAGAAGCACGCATGCTTAGGCAGAGTGAATGGGGCAATGGTTGAGGGTGAAAAACAAGAAGCGGGTGAAGGGATGAAGGTGGTGGAGGGGGTGACGAGAGGAAGGGGGGGGGGGGGGGGAGAGAGGGGGAGAAGGGGAGGGAGAGGAGGTGACTAGGGACAAGGAGGGACGGAGGCATAGAGGAGGGAAGGTAAAATTACGCTGGATCTCTCACAGATGCCATGCGTGCCCCTGCAGCCCGGGTCTTCCATGCTGCCCAGCTGTCTATCGCAGCGATATGTTGGGCTCCTCACGAGCTAAGTTGGTCATTTACGTTTACGTTTACGTACGTACGTGTACGGGTACGTACGTTTACGCGGCTGTTGGGTTGGAGGCCTAATGTACGGGCAGGTTAAAAGTTTTCTGGGCTGCCTGAATATGTATATTTTTTCTGTAGTACTCCCTCGTGATCATGATTTCCGTCATATAGTGTAAACATTCCATTACAACCTCGTAATTTCCCAAATAATTAAATAACCACCATGCATGCACGAGTCGTGCAGAATATCATATCATCCTCACTCCATAGGCTCTTCCGCTTCCTGGCCATCAAGATATGCCTCATCGGGGATGTCGTCGTCATCGAGATGCCCGTAGCTGTCAGTAGGTTCCTCCTTAACTTGCACCACAGGAAGCCCACTCACCACCAGCTTCTTAGCAAGATCTTCATTCAACTTCTTCACTGTGTGATAGTTGTGGCTCACGTAAACCAGGTCGGCAAGGCGTTTCGCTCCAAGGCGATTACGACGAGCTGTATGGATTGACTCCCAAACGGCCCACTTCGTCTCGCACGGGGAGGCCGAGACGCATTGCTTGAGAACTCTTTTTGCAAGCTTGGAGAGGTGTGGCACGTCCGTGCCATTAAATTCCCACCAATGCGCCGAATCCAAAAGCCCAGCTTTGATGAGTTCATGCTCATCACGCGCTTTCTGCTCCCCAATGTCTCCCTTCCCCTTGATGTATGTCAAGACCTCTTTTTCGACGATGGTTGCGAGTGGCGCCGTCACCCCTCCCACTTTCACGAATTCACCCTTGTAGTAATTGCGAATGAATTTCTTGAAGATCTTGGTACACTCCACGTCCGTTCCGAATATTGACTCGTATTGGTTTGGCGGGTACAGAATCCGTCCGACCACGTGAAGCGCGCAGTTGATGTCGTTGTTCCACCGATTCCGCACGATGTCGGTCACATCCTCCTTCTCCTCCTCGGTCAGCTCCTTACACGCCTCCTTCACCGCATCCTCCAAAGCAAACATTTTGTCATAGATCTTGCCCATCACCTCCTGATTGCCGTCAACATTCCGCAACAGCTTGTAGACCGGACGAAGCACATCGAGCACCGTCCCAACGCGCATCCAGAACTCCTTGTCGATAATAGTATCCCATGCGTCCTTCATTTTCGGCTTCCCCTTGACGTACTCCTCCCAGTCCTCACTCAACACCAGCTTATCGAGAGTTTGCGCACTGCCTGCAGGCGTTCGAGGGCGATGTAGTTTGTTCCAAAACGGGTGCCCGCAGGTTTCAGGATTTGTAGCGCCTTCTCTTTCCGAAGAACCCCCGTAATCCAGTGCGCGTTCTTCAGCGTCGTAATTAGCTGTTGCGCGCGGTCGATGGTATCCTTGGCCCAATCGAGTTGGCCAATGTCCTTCATCATTAGATTGAGAGAATGCGCACCGCAACGAATCCACTGAACTTTTGGGTACTCGCGGGCGATGATGCTGGCAGCATTGACATTCGCGGACGCACCGTCCATCAGCAGGCCGACAACGTTCTCCGTTCCCACCATGACCATTGCCGTCTTCAAGTGGCCAGCAATGAATTCTGCTCCCTTCTTCTCCGTGCCGCAATCCACCCCAAAAAGAAAAACGGATGCAATCGTATTAACAGCTAAGAAGTTCAGCTGCGGATGTCCTTTGCTGTCGGTCCAACTGTCACACGCGATGCATACCCCGACATCCTTCCATGAATCCTTCACCTCCTTCAACGCAGCGTCGGTGTTCGCTTTGCACTCCAACAATCTTCCCATTATGAGCCGTCGTCTTGGAGGTGTAAATCCTGTACCAGCAGCAACAACCTTTTTCAGCATCGTCTTGAAAGCATCGTGCTCCGCAACATTCAGCGCGATACGACACACGTGGAAAAACGTTGCGATGGCTAGTTGCGCACTCGCTGCGTCGACGGGTCTGGGGCGAGTATCCATAAGAGTACGTTGCGTTGCCTGTCTCTTGCGTGCCATTGTGCTACTTTCCGCCAAGTTGGAGCCACTCGCCGCCATGCCCGTCGACTTGGTGTTCGTAGTAGACGATGGCGAGAATGCATCGGACGTTTTCTGTTGAGCTTTCTCGCGAGAATCAGATTCCCTCTTCTTATCATCCATCGCAGAACGATTTTTTTCCTTATCCTCAGGTGTAGCTGAGGCGCATGGCGTGATTCCGCTCCCGGGAATTCCGAGAATGTGGGCCTGAGCCCGCGCCACATTCAGTTTCCACGACTTCCCACATCGCTTGCATTTCTTAGCTAGCGTAGAATCGCCGCGCCGCTTTACTACCACGCTAACAAAGCACAGGTCGTCGAAAACGTTTTTCCTTTTTTAGTTTTTTGGAAACCGTTTTCAAAGAAATTCCTAGCGGATTTTTTTTTCTGACCTGCCCGGCGTACGTACACGTAAACGTAAACGTACGCGTACGTTACGTGTACGTGGCCTCAAGTGGCGTAAATGATCAACTTAGCTCACGAGGGCAGGTGCTGTAAGTGTGGGCAGAATAAGGGAGTGAGAAGGAGGGAGCGAGGGAGGTAACTCCATACAAACAACCAAGAAAGGAGGAGCAGTGGCTGATTGCTGATGGCATTGCACGAAAAAGCAATGCTCACATTAAGACTTTCGTTAGCAAAAATAGGCAAATGCGCAAAGGGAGGGAGCCGTGCCCAGCATTAATAGATCAAAAACGGACATAGGGTGAAAAGAACGATTCAAATTCTTCCGCTTTGAATGCAAGCTGGTTACTCGGCTTCACATAACGCCGCCCTGTCCGCCATCGGCTGAGAAGCTGGCATCCGTTCCACCATGAGGCAGCCATGTGTGTACTCTTGGCGACCGTGGCGATGAGTCATACTGGGAATGCTTCGCTATCATGTTCACCACATTCATAGCGGTAGATTCTGCATTGCAGAACAAGAGCCTCTACATCGCGCGGTAGTAATAGTTACCTCGTTTGCCTTGCAGCATCGAGCCCATCATGAGTGGTTGAACGTCACCTGCCGATGCGACATCATCCTCCTATTTTGTCATCGACATTACACTTCGCCGTGACTGCAGTGCGAGTTTGACTCGAAGAGCGGGATTAGGAACACGTAGAGAGAAAGCACAAAGCCAAGACATTGCCGCCTTGCTCGTCCCTGCCGCGCCTTCCTCCTGCCCGCCTTCATCCACTCCCCGCTGACCGACTTCACCGCCACCACTACTGCTCCCACAGCCCGTATCTCCGCCATGCTGCCATTTGCGTGAGGTAGAGATGTAGAAACGCTCCTCTGATACTCACCTCGATGTGGCACAAAGCCGTGCGCGCCGTCCTATCACAAGCTGTCAACCAGGACACCGTTCTTTGAAAGGATAGTAACGCGCATTCATTCCACCTGCTGCCTCAATGCAGCGGTGCACCCGCCCATGGCGAACGCGCCGGCGGGATCCATCACTGGCACGTGACATTCTCGTGAGAGGGATAAGTTTGTCTCGCTAGCACGCTCCTCGCCGCCCATTCACAATGGGAATTCGTGCATTGCAGAATAAAGGCTTCTTTTTCAGGACGAACTCTAACCACGTAACCCTAATTTTAACGTCTCGCTTTGACACTCCGCGGCCAGTGTTGATTGAATGTCGGTCGTACATTGAGGCTGTGAGACAACATAATCCCCCATCGCGTCAACGGATCTATAACCTGATGGCGCACGTATCGCGGGTCCCCAGTCCGGACTCGTCGCGAAGACCTCCTGAAAACAGACCTAATATCGCTCTGGTGGCAGCAGAGATGGTAGGCTATTCTGTGAAATGGGTTCTGAAATTGCTGGGGGCCTATTTAACATCGGGTTACCGAATTCGGCACAAACGAGAGGTTGAGTTCGTACGGACAGGACGCACTAGGTTCGTGGGGATAGCGGTTCTGAAGGGAGATCCTGAGTGCTTTAGGGCGGTCAATGTTGAACGACAACAAACCAGAACTCGAGGTACAGTGCATTTTGCGGCTGTAACACCCTGTTACCAAAATATGCAATGCATACCAGGCTTGAAAATTGGCTCGTAAGTGTGGATCTTGGGTATGCAACGCATATGCAATGTCCGAAGTGTCAGTGACGCGGCGAGATCTTCGGAAACTTATGTGACTAGATCGAAGTAGTGTGAGAAACATCATCCTCGGCCTTGTTCCTGGTTTTGAGTGTCACCCGAGCCTTGTTTCTATCAGACCCTAAGCGACTAGAGAATCTGGGAAACGTCGCGCGGGTCGGTTTAGCCACTGCGTTGGACACGACGATGATGTCGAGGGTAGTCATGAATGGCAGAGTTGTGACAACTGCAGTGCTCCATTTGCGCGAGGAACATGCGAATGCGGCGCGGTCGATGGTTTCGGCTGAGGGACTGCGGCCGTCATGACCGCGTCAGATCACTCTCCCCCTACTGCGAGGGTGACACCGTGGGGATGCCGCGTTTACCCATGGTGGTTCGTACGAGGTGGAGCGAATAGCATGTAGGTTCTATCCATGGATGGTTCATCGACCTCATCACTGGTGCCAACGAACTGAATGATTCGGTACAGGAATCCCCCCATCGAAAATACCCCATCGGGATGGCAGGGCTTTCGAATGGGTGGCGAGAGGCGAACGGCCTTTGGAGACCCATCTGGATGGGCGTTCGAGGCGAGTAGAAGGCGTGCGTCGCGATTGGATGGGTGGCGCAGCGCGTGCCATATGCATGGTGACGCACAGCACCTCGAATCGGAGGTCAAGTGCCTCACCTCGTCTGCCTTCCTCTCCATCCTCCGCCCTCGATCTTCCCTCCTTCGCTCTTTTCGCCTCCCTCGCTCTTCTTTCTGCAGCAAAGCCAGCATATAGTTGTTTTTCTTACTTCCGCCAGTTTTTTTCCTGCCAGCACAATTCCTCTCCATTTCCTCATGTGCCGTCTTCTTTCCTAACAACGTTTCTCTCCCCTGCTTGCGGAGCCCTGTCCGTTAGTCTGCTGAGAAGTGCCTGCTGCCATCCGCAGCCTTCTGTCCCACTGCTGTCGACTGCCTCTCTTCCGGTGCGGCCTTTCGCCCTGGGCTGCGCTGCTGCGGAGCTCGTCTGTCTGTTTGATGAGAATGTTCTTTGCTCATCACTTTGCATGTCTTCTATCGTCTCATCCATTTTCAACTCAGATTTCTTTGCTTTCCATGCCCAATTCAGTTCCTCCCATCTGCCCCTCTTCAACTTGCTGCTGCTACTTTTGTTACCAGCGCTTGTTCACTCCTTCTCCTCTTCTTGGTCAGCCCGGGACACTTCAGCCACTTCACTGCCCTGCCGGGCAGACCACTATTTATCTCTCACTTAACTTCGTGAGCTCTCTCCACCACTTCCTCCCCTCCACACGTGCGCCTCATCCTATCCGGTCTTGCCACTAGATTAGCCTTTTAGTCTGGGTGCGCCATTCCACGCCATCCATTTCTTTGTTTACCATTCACCCCACGAGGTCGGTATCTCTTGTGGATCCTTTTCTCTTCATTCTTGCACTCCAGCATCTCTCACAACTCCTTCTCCTTCCTTCCACTGCTGCTCATGATTAGCTTCACCCACCACGCTCAGAACGCATCTCCTTCATCCTCTTCCATATCCCTGTTCTGCTCTCTCGCCCTCCCATTCCCTGACCACCCTTGCTCCGTTCATGCTCGCTCCACCCCTCCAATCCACTCCGTACATCACTTCGTTCGCCTCATCCCTCGCGCCCATGTAATTGGTCTTTGTTCGTGTTTGCACTGACCACGGCCACTTTCCCTGTTTTGTTTTTACATTTATCTTTTCTGCAGTCCTATCCTACCCAGGCGTGCCTGCTCTGTCCAGTCTACGGTGAAAAAGGGCAATCGAATGCAGGGATCGGTCAGTCATTGAACGAGGGCTGTTTGAGGGGAGTGAGTGGGCAATATGGCTGCTGAGAGGGTGATGGGTACACTGATAGACGTGGTCAAAGAGGCAGTGCTAGCAGCAGTGAGAGAGGAACTTGCTGCACACAAGGAGGAGGTGGATGAGCTGCAGAACATGATGATTGCTGTGGAGGAGAGGAATGCGGCGACTGCTGCTGCGATGGGGAGGGAGTTGGCGGCAGTGAAAGGGGAGCTGGCTGCACACAAAGAGGAGGAGGGAGATGAGTTGCGGCACACGCTGACTGTTTTGGAGGAGAGGTATGAGGCAACCGTTGCTGTGATGGAGGAGAGGGGAAGCAAGTTGGCAGCAGTGAAGAGGGAGGTGACTGCAGTTAAGGGGGAGTTGGCAGGAGTGAAGTCGTGGTTGGGTGAGCACTTGCAGTTGGAGGAGGCTGACAGGAGACGAGTGGCGGAGATGAGGGAGATGAGAAGGCAGGGGGGGGGAAGAGGAAAAGAGTTGGCTGCAGAATCTGCACCAGTGAAGGGGGAGTTGGCTGAGCACAAGCAGTCAACTATGTTGGAACAAGACAAGGCTGTAAGGAGACAAATGGCAGAGATGAGAGGGCAGGTGGAGGAGAGGGAGAGAGATTTGACTGCGGTGAAGGGGGGTTTGGTTGAAATCAAGGATGCTATGGCAGAACAAGTGATCATGGCTGAGAGAATAAGACAGTTGGATTTGAGAGAGCTACGAGAGGAGGCAAGAAAGGGTAAGGTTGAAATGAGAGCAAAGTTGGCAAGGGAGAGGGAGGAGAGGAGGAGGGAGGTGCAGGAGTTGAATTGGCCACGTGTCATGGCGGAATTGGCTGCCTGCAAGGAATGGCAAAAGATTCAAGACATGAAGATGAATATTGAGCTGGAAATCAAGCTCAAACAGAGTGAAGGCAACCGGAGAAAGGCATTGGAGGTGAGTGCTAGAATACTGTTCCCTAGGGCGTTCATTGTTCCACATGTCATGTGTTGTCATTGACATGTAATACCTCTCCACCCATGTGCTACAGGCAATCACCGCAGCATCACAGGCGACCCAGCTGAACCTTAAAAATCTCAAGTGCCTCTCAGACGACATCCTCCCCCTTGTATTCACCATGACCCATCTGACGAGCGTTGACCTCACCGCTACTGCAGGCTTCAGTGCAGAGGGCGTCAAACACCTCTACAGGCTGGCACGGCTGGAGGTGCTAGGCCTGGAGAATACAGGCGTCTCAGACAGTGCCTTGGAAGGCATTGGGTCCTTGACCAGTGTGAAGATGCTTGATCTCGAAGCGACCAAGGTGACCAATGCTGGTCTGCAGCACTTGACAGGCCTTTCCTCTCTTGAAGTGCTGTGGCTTTCAAAATGCAAGGGTGTGACGGATGCTGGCATGCCACACTTGACAGGTCTCTCCTCTCTCAAAGTGTTGTTGCTGTGTGAATGCAAGGGTGTGACCAACGCTGGCATGGTGCACGTGGGGAGGCTAACAGGGCTTGAGGAGCTTGCTCTGGATGGTACGGCAGTCACAGATGGTGGGCTGCAGCAGCTGACTGCCCTGACCAAGCTGACAAAACTTTGGACGCCAGAGGATAACTTGCTTGTGAATGATGCTGTGCGCAGGCGGATAGACAGGTATAGTAACATTAAGGGATGGTGGAAGATTCTTTCTGGATAGGGGAGATTGAGGAGAGGAGAGGCATGCATGCGGAGGAGTGAGGCAGGAATGGTGGTTGTGCACGGCTCAACTTGCACGCTGCAGGTTGTAGTGAGGCATGGACTTGTAGAACTCGTTTCGTGCCTTGAAGGTGGACAGAAGCAGGTTCAGGGCTGGTTGGGCAAGAGACCAGGTGGATGAGGGAAGGCTACATGAGCCATGCCTGCGGGGCTTTGGGTGCAGCAGGCTTTACAGATTCTCGACTGTAGTTGTGGTTGATGGAATCAAGCTTCTGCGGCATTGCTTCAGTGAAATTTACACCTTTATAGTGCTCTGCATGATGGATCATATTCATTCTATAATGCTCTATACAGGGCAGGTTCTTGCGGGAGGGAGGCTGGATGGATGGGCAATGTCCTGCTGGCTTTGGTTGCAGGCTGTACAGCTCCTGACACATGTTGGGAACAATAAGTCTTAAGGCGCCTCTGTCGTGTCGAAACTCAGGACACTAGCGAAGCAGCCTAAATCGAAGCATCGCGAGTCAACCCTCGGAGGTTAGGGTAACCGCCTGGAGGTTACGCGAAGGTCAAAGGTCAGCGACCTTTGACTTGACCAATACAGCGCGACAGCAAGGACACACAACTGACTCGACATTGAGCAGTTGCCCGAGTCGCACTGTATCGAATCGCAACAGTAAAACGGTTTAAATCTATCTATTCGTATTCCTTGTACTCTTATATAAACCTTGTATTTGCTTGTTTAATCTAACTTACTTTGCTCTCACATACTAGTGCAAGGTGGTTCAAACACTCTTTTATTCAACGCTTCCGCTATTACAATCCTACTCAGTCCTTAAACTCTACAAAGATCCTAGGGCTTTTCAGCCCAACATGGTATGAGAGCAGTTAGAGTTTAAGATCCTTTTCTCTCTCAATACTTAATACAAAGAAAGAAGACATGTCTGCAAGGAAGGAGAGGAGCTCCTCCAACGGCTCCCCAGGCACTACTCCTACTCCACCTCCTGCCTCTGGCCTACAGACAGAGGAAGGCACTACCGCAAGACCAGCAGCTGGGTCCACGGAAACACCAGCAGGCTTCGATTCAAACATGATGGAGAAATTTTTCTCCTTCATGTCCTTCTACGAGCAACACCAGCAAGGAGTGCCTGCGCAGTCAAACAACAGCAACAACAACAACAATGTTACTCCGATGAGCCTCGACGGCTCATCCTATGCACGCGGGATGCAACAACAACAACAGCAACCTACCTTTGCGCCGTACGAGCCCCAACGTGGCTCCGTCAGCTTCATGCCGCAACCGCAACCTGCATCGGGACAAGAAAGGACATTGGACGCGTTACAAGTCCAATCGCAATTCGCGCACGTCCTAAAACTACAAACGACAAAGCCTTTCGACGGCAAAGATTTCTTTACCTGGTCGTTAGAGTTTGAATTGATGATGGAAGGAGCACAAATTCTTGGCTTCTTCGACGGGTCCCTGCCCTGCCATATCCGACAAACGGGACACAATATGAGAAGCAGCAGTATACATATCAATCGATGATGGCGTACACGATCCTGCTGAGGAACATCACCCCAACCCAGCAGCAGAACATCAAGACTTACCGAGGCTACGGCAACTCCGCGGAGCTCGCGTACAACCACCTGAAGAACCTGTATCAAGCAACAAACAGCGTAAACCAAAGCAGGTTAATGGCGCAGTTGACAACGATTGAAATGAAACCAGGCGAGAAAGGCATGGCTTATATCAGCCGCTGCCGCGAACTGCGCGACAAGCTCCTTCGATGTGGCGGGTCAATTTCAGAAGACGCCTTTGTCACGGTGGTCATCGGCGGTCTCGGCCCCCACTGGTGCTCCACTCGCGCCATATTACGAGCACACGGGAGGATCTCCGAAGCAGCACTCTGCGCCGAAATTCATGCTGAGCAGCAGGATATGGACCTGCAAGAAGAAAGGCACAAGAAGAAAACATTAGCACCAGAGTTTGCGTTTCACACTCAGCGACGATACAACAATCGACAACAGGAACAAGTGAAGACGGTACCTCCGTTCTGCCACATCTGCAAAACCTCGGGCCATCCTCGCACGCATTGCCCGTCTCGTCAGACGACACCACAGCGACAACTGCGGCCTTCAAGCTCCCAAGTTGCTTCAACGCAAGCAACTCCGACGACCGCACACCAAGCTTCAACGACTTCATCTGGACAACCTGCACAAGGAGCAAGAAGCATCGTCAACTGCATGGTAAAGATAAACAATTCCTGCATTACAAAGTCGCCACCCTACTACTCACCAGAAGAGGAGGTCGACAACAGGACGCCTCGCCGCGAATCACTCCAGCCGAATCCGACGTACGCCGCCATCGCTCAAAGCGAACCGTCCGGCCAAGACACTTGGTTCTTGGATAGTTGCTGCGGACAACACATGTGCTCCTCCGGGCGCTTCGTACAACGCGAACATCGACTCCAGCGAGAAGTAGTCATCACGGTCGCCAACAACCAGAACCTGCGCACAAGACGACAAGGAGTCGTTCAGCTTCAATCAAGAGAAACCAACGTTATACTACACATGTCAAAAGTACTCATCGCAGAAGGACTCGGTCACAACTTACTGAGTGTTAGCCAGCTGATGGCGAAGGGGATTCACTTGGAAGCCGATAGCACCACACAGGAATTTAAGTTATACCACGGGAGGGGCGGCCTCTACATCGGGAAAGCAGTGTTGAAGAATAACGTCTTCGTTCTTGACTTCGTCCCCGACCTGGGCACTGCAGACAGCGACGCCATCGTCAACTTCACCGATTGGACGCATCCCCCAGATCTCGATCCCGACTTCAGCCCGGGAGGTTTCTGGTACTCACACACCATTCCTGAAGCAGAACGAACACGTGCATTAGCAACAATTCGACAATCGGCAGCAGCAGAGACAACATCGGCAGTAGCAGAGACAACATCGACAACAGCAGAGACAACATCGACAGCAGCAGAGACAACATCGACAGCAGCAGAGACAACATCGGCAGCAGCAGGACCAACTACACCAGTCATCGTCGAAGAAGAACCTCCAACACCCGCACAGCAACTAAACCCGACTCAACGAGAAGTTCACAGAAGCGCCAATCTCGTCGCCAGCTTCTACTCCAACTCCGACGCATATCAACGTTCACCCGGACACCGCGCCTTCGAAGACATCTGGCACGCACGCATAGGACATCCAAGTAACACGGTGTTAAATAATGCGATACGAGCAGGAGTACTAGACAAAGACTCACTACTACTACTCGACGGCAGAGAACTTCAACGTGCACGGGGGACTTGCCTCATCTGCCCCGAGGCCGACTTACCACATCGACCTTTTTCTTCTCACCACAACCCGAGCGCACCTGCATACGCACCACTCGAAAAAATCTACAGCGACATCCTCTACAATCGAGAACCAGGCCAAGTAACCTATAATTACACGATTACCATCATCCACGCCGCCACTCAATACGTCTGGCATCGCAACCTACCCAGCCGCGACATGGCACTCGCAGCATTCGCCGCTTGGCTACCGGTAGCAGAAAGGGAATCAGGAACGCAGCTGAAAAGCTTCCACTCAGACGGAGGTGGCGAATACACCTCTCAGCGCTTCAAGCAGTACCTGGCGAAAAGGGGGATCAAGCAACTCCTCTCCCTTCCCTACGCACATCAGCAGCAGGGTGTTGCAGAAAGAATGAACAGGACCCTGCAGAACAGCATGCGCAAACTACTACGTGGCATGCGGCTACCCAGCCACCAGTGGCCAGCAGCAATGGACCATGCTGTCATGCTGCACAACTTGCTTTCGTCGTCGTCACTCCCAAACAACGCATCACCGCATCTGCTGTGGACAGGAAAGCAGGGCAACACAAAAATGTTACGAGTATTTGGGTGCATGGTACAGTACCGACCCCCAGAAGCACGAGCGGGAAGATTTTCGCAACGGGCACAGTGGGGACTACACCTCGGCATCGAGAAAAATTACAACGCGTGGAGAATCTTCGACGTCCACACAAAAGAAACAGTAGCAGCACGATATGTGATCTTCTACGAACGACTCACCCTTCAAATGTACCTCGCCAACTTGCACGAGAATCGGGACCCCACAGGTGGCTTTCGTGGTGACCGAGCCTTCGCCTCAGTAGCGGACGAAGCAGACTGGGATGAACAAAACGTCGACAACGCATCGGAGGAAGCCGGACCTCTCCCGTACTGCTCCGTCGATGTGCCCATGGATGAAGATAATCCTCGCGACAGTAACAACGCCGAAGTCTTCTACCACTTCGCCGACAACGGTTACGTAACACCTGCGACAGTCAACACCAACGAAGCAGAAAGGATAGGACCAAATTTCATCCCCGACCCAGAAGCGGG